AAATAATTTTCATTATAAAACGTAAACAAAATTAAAAAAGAGAATAAAATGAAAATTTTACCATACTGTCAATAAAATTTTACTGCCATAATATAGTAGCAAAAAAAAAAAAAAAAAAATTATGTAACTAGAATTATAAACATAGTTGCATTTCAATTGTTAAATAATAATTATTTATTATTAAGTATGACTTTCATTATTTAAATGTAATTTATAAATGTTTGTGACAAACTCAAGGTTTAAAGGCTTCCTCGCATATAAAGTATCTTATTGTCGAGATGAGAAAAAAAAAATTTTTTTTTTCCTTTTTTTAATTTATTAAAAACGCAGAATTCTTTAATTCACGATATAATGATAAAAATATATATTTTTTTTCTATTAATAGCATTTACCTACTTATCTTTGATTTAATGTCGACAATATATTAACACCATTGAAAGTTTAACGGACATTATTTATTCTTTATCTGAATCACCAAACGTTGATTTAAAAATTTTTCATGGCATATATTTTAAATGGACCAATTTTTTTTATTTTCAAATAAATAAAATTTATTTTTTTCAAAACATACAAAAATTTATTTAAAATAAATAAAATTTATTTTTTAAATACGTGAAATTTATTTATTTAAATACGGTTGCTATATGGTAAAAGTAGCTACGGTAACCGTTACTATTACAGCTATTATCATGACAACGGTTACCATAGCAACCGTTGCTATGTAGCAGTAACTATGGCAACCGTTGCTATGTTAGCAGTTACCATGACAACGGTTACCATAGCAACCGTTGCTATGTAGCAGTTACTATGGCAACCGTTGCTATGTTAGCAGTTACCATGACAACAGTTACCATAGCAACCGTTGCTATGTAGCAGTAACTATGGCAACCGTTGCTATGTTAGCAGTTACCATGATAACGGTTACCATAGCAACCGTTGCTATGTAGCAGTTACTATGGCAACCGTTGCTATCGTAGCGGTTACCATGACAACGGTTACCATAGCAACCGTTGCTATGTTAGCAGTTACTATGGCAACAGTTAGTATAGCAACGGTTGCTATCGTAGCAGTTACCATAGCAACCGTTGTTATGATAACAATTGCCTTATCCAATTTTTTTTCTATTCTAAAATTTTATTTAAAAAATAATTTTTTTTTTAATTATTTAAGTAAATTTTAATTATTTAAATATAGAAAAGTGAATTTTAAAGAAAATTAGAATAAAAAAAAAGAAACTGTGACAGTAATTATTATATGATAATTAATACCTTACGGTATGTATGGTTTAATAATTTCTCCGCAAGACTAAATGTGTTATCAATATCTATTCAAAATGAGGTTACATGAGATTTTTTCTCGAAACAAGTCTTGATCAAGTGTTCATTTCTCTTCTTAAATTTCAAACTCATAGATATATATGTGAAGTGACATCTTCATTTCTGAAAAATCATCTTTCTTGATTTAATAAAAATTTTATTCTTAGATAATTATTTATATACATTCTATTATAATGATTTTATTTTCAAATTATCTTTTACACAATAGAGCTATTATTGTAATTATCATTGAGTAGATTTTTTTTTTAAATTATTATTTTTATTTTGTCTTAGAAAAATTTGCAAGTCATTTTTTTTGTTTATATCACATGATTTGTCTATGATAATATTGTTATTGTTCTTAATAAACAAATTGGAGTTTTTTTTCGCAAATAATTACAAAAAAAAAAAAAAAAATAGAATGCAAACAATTACGCAAATAATTTTTGAAAAATGCTAATAATTAGAGAAAAAAATACAAATTACGAAAAATGGAAATAATTATTGAAAATTGTAAATAATTTCGAAATCGCAAATAATTTAGAGAAAATTTAGAATTTAAGGTATTTGATCAAAAGAACTATTCCATAAATGGATTATATAGATTAAAAGAGGTAAATCTTGTATTTGTGTATATTGAAATCCTTGGAATCATTTAGTTTAAAAATTGAATTTCTCGTTTTTTTTTTCCTTTTCGAGTGAATGCAATTTCGTCGGGTTTCTTCAAAGTCATTCGACGAGCGTGACTTAATCGATTTGACCACTTCGGCTACATATATATGTAGAGGAAAAAAAAAATGTGTTGCGTTTGTATTTTAGGCGCTTTCAATACTTGAATTCACAGTTAAAACTTTAATATATAAAAAGGAATAGTGCTTCTTTTATTCTTTTTTTAAATTCATATTACTGTTATGACATTTGCCTTCAGAGATTAATCATCCAACGAAAATTTGCATTCATAAATTAATTCATTAAAATTCCATTTTTGAAATCTTAAAAATTGTTTTTCATTTAAAAATTCACAAAGTTTAGGAAATAAACAAAATAATAAAAATTAAATTATTTAATTGTAGATAATAAAAAAAGGATTATAAAAAAAAATTTTTGATTCAAATTTGTTACTTTATTATATAAAAAATAATTATTTTTTATTTATTAATTGATATTTATTTAAAATACAAAAATTATTTATTCAATTTCAAAATTTATTTGAAAAAATAATTAAATACTGAAAATAAAATAAATAATACAATTTATTGGAAATATAATTTATTTAATTGAAATAAAAATTATTTGGTTCAATTAAATATTTATTTAAATATTAAATATTTAATAAAAATAAATTATTTGAAGAAAATATAAATTTTTGTTCTTCTAAATAATCTTTTATTTATAAAATAGAAAGAATTATATGGGTGCTAGAAAATACTGTTTTCTTTATTGAATCTTCAAGTGAGATTTGTGTATAAATTTTTCCGTAAAAGCACTTTCTACTTCCGGCTTCTATACTATATAGAAATTGACATTGAGATGCTCATCACACGAGAGAGATGGTTTTCTCATTTAAGAGTTTAATACAAAACACGTGCGACAAACTGGACCATATATATATATATATATATGCTATATAGACAAAACCGTTATTTATACTCTCGAAACAACTAAATAGCCTCCTTTTGAACCAAACTTGTCACACTTGTATGCACTCGTTTCATCATTTTTGGAATTCATTCGATGACTTCTCTCTAATCAATTCTGACGGATATCGTTGTTGACACTCGATTGACATGTCCATATAATGAATGCGAAAAAGAGAATATATATATATATATATATTTTAGATTTTCTCGAAATTCTATATATGCGTTTCTTTATTGCTTCTTCGCAATCTGTGTGTACATTACCGTTTCTTTTAATCGAAAGGAAAGAGAAATTTTTCATACAAAACTAAAAAAAAGAAAAAACTCTTTCACAAATCGATCCTTTTTCTCATTTATAATGAAATCAAATTTTGTTTGTAAATAGAAATCAAGAAAGCGTGTAAAATTTCAATTTTTCTCATTTTGTGAAATTTGAAAATTAAAAAGTTTTATTTTATTTTGAGAAAAAATGTTTTTTTTTTATTTATATTAGATAAGTTTTTTTTAATTAATATTATAATTATAATAATAATTATTATTATTATATTATATTATACAAATATACAAGGAAAAAAAGATTTACCTAAAGCAGTGAAAGTTTTCACTAAAATAGCTAAATTTATAATTGTTTCAGTTAAATCTTTCGCCCTACTTTAGTGATTTAATTTTTCGCTGATCCAGATGAAGATTTTTTTCTGTGTATTATTAAATAAATATGTTACCTGAAAAAAAAATTTGAGTAAATTTTTACTACTTAGAAAGTAAAATAACCTTTTGCTCCGGAAATAGAAAAAATGACTTCGAAATAATAAAATTTAAAACCCGGAAATAGTATTTTTTACTATTTCCGGGACAAGAGTTGACAGAAATTTTGAACACTTTAGAATTTACTTTGCGACTATAGTAAAAATTACTTTATTTTTGTTATCCATTTTTCTCCGTTTGTATAAATTATAAATAAATATAATAAATAAATATTAAATAAATAAATAATATAAATTAGTTAAAAATATATATAAATAAATATTATAAATAAATATTATAAATAAATATTGTAAATAAATATTGTAAATAAATATTGTAAATAAATATTATATAAATTACATATAAGTATAAATATAAAAAATTATATCAAATAAATATTATAAATAAATATAAATAAAAATAATGTAAAAAATAAAAAAAAAATTCTTTTTTTTAAATTGAGAAAAAAATTATTATTTTATTATTTCAAAAAAATCAAATTTTCTTTTTTGCAAATATTACATAAATTTTTCATCGTGATTCAATTTTTTTTTTTTTAATTAAAATAAAGTGATGAAATTTTGATATAGACACATATAAAAACAATATTTCTCCATTCAATAATGTGTCATGCATATAGATACACACCATGAATGAAATATTCTCCACGTGCGATGGTATTCGAGTGACATCAAGCCAGCCAAGAATGAACTATTAATAGAATAATACACCACGTGCTTCTTGTTAATTTCATAAAAATAAATATTTATTCCTTTTCTACAAACTGATTATATTGCATTTTTTAAAACAAAAATACTTTTTAATTTCAAAAAAATTCTAAAAAAAAAGAAATTTTGTTTTTAAATAAATTTTTCTTTAATTTTTAAATAAAAAAAAAATGTAAAACTGAAAATTAAAATTAAAAAACAAAAATAATAACTAAAAAATTATAAACTAAAACATAAAAAAAACTAAAAAATTAAAAAATAAAAATAAGAACAAAAGAAAATAATAAACTAAAAAATATTTTTAAAAAATAAAAAATTAAAAAATAAATAAATTAAAAAAAAACTAAAAAATTAAAAAATAAATAAAACAAAAAAAATAAGTAAAATTGCAACTAAAATTTTTTACATTCGTGATTCAATAAAAAATATTTTATGCGAAATTTTTGCAAAAATAATAGTAGTTTCGTTTTTTTTTTTTTTTTTTTGCGTCATTTATATCTTTAAAACCTTTTATCTTAAAGATTGTTTTGTAAACAGGATTTTACATGTGCGAATTCATTGAAATGTTACAGATGCTACCGGAGCCGCGCTCCTCCTGAAGCCACATCTGAGTAAACGAAACGTGAGTATATTTCAATCCATTCCTTTGGTCCAGTTTATTTATCATTTTGTGTTTCGAATTTTTTTTTTTTTCAATTTTTCAGGATATATGTACGCTAATGCAAGATTTAATATATTTAATAATATATTTAATAATATATTTAATAATATATTTAATATTATAATAAAATATAATAATATATAATAAATTTATAAATTTCGTTTTGAATATATAAATAAAATTAATATCCTTCATATGAAATGAAATATTAATTCTATTATATATTCTATTTAACACCAGTTATACGATTACAAACAGGAGTTACTCAATAATTAAAATTAGGATTTTAATGACGGTATAAATTAAATTTATGACAAAAATATTTATTTTTTAAATAAATAGTGATTTTTATATTGAATAATTTTTTTTTTCATAATGTCAACTAAGAATTATTCATTAAATGATTCATCAAAAAGAAAATTATGTTTTTAATCAAAACAAAAAAATATTTTTTTTTTATTTAAATAAATTGTAACAATAAATATTATTATAAATTTGTAATATTGATTAATTTATAAAAATTTCGAATAAAATAAAAATTATCGTCAAAAAAAAAAGTTATTTTATTAGAATAAATATTAATTTTAAAAATTAACACGCAACACATATAATAACTCATTACTATAATTATATTGTCTTATTGAACTTCTTTGATGAAGTAAACAATAATTACGTTTTTATTGTACAACGTAAATTGAATAATAGATAATGGGCAATATATGCTGAGGTTACTTTAAAGAATTGATATCAAAAGAAAAATTTTATTGTTATTTTTATTATAATCATTTGGATTGTTATTACTATTATTAATATTGTTATTATTTTTTATTAAAAATTATTATTATTATTATTATTATTATTATTTTTATTATTATTATTATTATTATTATTATTATTATTATTTTTATTATTATGTATTATTAATATTATTATTATTATAAATTATTATTATTATTATTGTTATTTTTATTATAAGTTTTATTACTATTATTGTTATTACTTTTTTTAATATAAATTTTTATTGTATTTTAGTAAAAGTTTCTTTTAATTCATTAAACTTATAAAAAGGAATATTACCAAAAAAAAAGGAAATACAAACAATAAAATTATTGTCAATAAATTAATTTTCATTTATAAAAAATTATTCGTAATGTTAATAATTTTTTTTTTAAATTGTTTGCTTTGATTATGAACAAATTTCTCGACTTAATATTGTTACTTTGATTAAATGAGTCAACATCACCATCAAGATAATTGTGGATAAATTTTAACGGAGTTACTGATAAGAAAGAATAAGGATTTATTTTTAAATAAAAAAAACTGGTAGAAAATTTATAAGTTATAACTACTTTTATTAAGAAAATATTATTTAATAAATCTTAGCCTTCTTCTTTTTTCTCTTTTTCTTATTATTGTTATTATTTTTATTATTATAATTATTTATTTTATAATATTGCCCGTGTAAATAAATAAATAAATAAATAATTTATAATTATTATTTATTAAAAAAAAAAATAATAATAATTCTCACTACTTAAAATTTCCTCGAAAAAGGTTTTGATTATTATCCATTGTCTTCCTTTTTTATGTATATAATATTATGCGCGACTCATATCGTTTACGCGTATCGTATACATAATGTATATATATATATAAACACACACATATAGATACATAGAATCGTCAATGACGTCAGAGTTTGTCGCCATTTGGTGAATAGTATGCAAAATAGTGCAAATAGCATGCCGAATGTTGCGTTGCTATGTATAGAATCGCGTCGCGCAAAGGAAGTTTGTTCTGATGCTGCCTATACGAAAAGTCTTTGCAAAGTGCGTTAGTGAATCGCGAATTACACATTCAATAAACTTTTGTGTTTATCTTTATAATCATTGATGAAAAGGTGTTTCAAAGTTCACCGATCCTATATATATATATATATATAAAGTCATTTCACCAAATCTAAAAATGTCTTAAAGCAATCAATCTTGCAAAAAAAAAGGAAAAGGAAAAAAATATATTTTTGGAACGTAGAACCACATTTTTATGTTAAACTGTATGTAAACAAATATGTATTTTTTTTTCATCGTTATATTCCAAAATTTCACGTTTTTCAAAATAAAACTTTTTTTTTTATTTCAAATTATTTTTTTTCATATTTTTTATTTGCTGCAAAAATAAATTTTCGATTTTCTATAGAAAAGAAAAAGGTTTCATTTATAATTATTTGGAAAATAATAATAATAATAATAATACTAAATATTGACAATAATAATATTAATGTGCAGGAAAACAATTTTTTAATGAATTCTTATGCAAAAACAAAAAAAAATAATTACCTTCTTCTTTCAAAGTTGAAAAAAATTAATCAAACAAGTTGCATGGAAAAATATGAGATTTTGTATAATTCCTTGATTTATGGTACTAAAAATTATTAATTAAAAAAAACTTGTGTTGAATTAAACAATAATTATTTTTCTCAATTTTCTTTCTGATTTATTAGTGGCCTCGTTTTTTTTCTACAGGAACTACTGACAAAAAAAAAAACACAAAACAATGAACAGTTTTTATTAAACATTTTTATTCAATAACCTCGTATTTAAAAAAAAAAGACTATTTTAATTAAATTATAATTTTTCTAATTTCTAGTCATTCAATTACAAACTCTAAAAAAAAATTTGATTAATAGGTATATTAAATTCTTGTTTGCGTTATTTTTTTTTTTGTTTGCATACGTTACTCGCACTTTCTTCAATTGTGTCATCAGTTTGATAAGAATTTCTTATCAACTATATATTAACAAAATAATTGAAATTCATTTGTTCTCATGCGGTTAGTTTTAAATAATAAAATGTTTACCTGTCCTCTAATATGTTGATTTAAAAAAAATTTTTTTTTTTTAATTTTAAATTATCATTTACTTCTTTTTTTTTTTATCGTTTATCATCTCTTGCAAAGAAAGACAGAGATTCATTAATCGTTAGTGTTCAATCATTGAATGCCATTAACCTCTATAACTACCAATTTTTTTTTTCTCTCTCTACTCTCTACTGACGTTCATATAACTGATGTAAGTAGTAAATATAATGATGCTCTTTGTTATTCTGTTTTTAATGTCTTTCCGACAAATTTACTTTGAAATCAATTAAAATTTTTTTTTTTTTATTCCACAATAAAAACTCTTTTAATGTCTTTTGGGTAAAAAAAAAAAATAATAACTTCCTTTTTTATCGTCGACGATATGATTATTTTTTAAATTTATCATTCAACAATGAATTATCATTAATTTTTTAAAATTATCATTTATTTATTAGTTAATTATAATTTTTAAATTTTTAGGGTTTCATGACCCAGATCCGAAAGTTCCATAGTAACAATTTTCATAGTAACCGTTTCCATAGCAACCGTTTCTATAGTAACCATTTCCAAAGTAACCATTTCCATAGTAACAATTTCCATAGTAACAATTTTCATAGTAACAATTTTCATAGTAACTGTTTCCATAGCAACCGTTTCCATAGTAACAATTTTCATAGTAACCGTTTCCATAGCAACCGTTTCTATAGTAACCATTTCCAAAGTAACCATTTCCATAGTAACAATTTCCATAGTAACCATTTCCAAAGTAACCATTTCCATAGTAACAATTTCCATAGTAACAATTTTCATAGTAACAATTTTCATAGTAACTGTTTCCATAGCAACCGTTTCCATAGTAACAATTTCCATAGTAACAATTTTCATAGCAACAATTTCCATAGTAACTGTTTCCATAGCAACCGTTTCCATAGTAACAATTTTCATAGTAACCGTTTCCATAGCAACCGTTTCTATAGTAACCATTTCCAAAGTAACCATTTCCATAGTAATAATTTCCATAGTAACCATTTCCAAAGTAACCATTTCCATAGTAACAATTTCCATAGTAACAATTTTCATAGTAACAATTTCCATAGTAACTGTTTCCATAGCAACCGTTTCCATAGTAACAATTTTCATAGTAACCGTTTCCATAGCAACCGTTTCTATAGTAACCATTTCCAAAGTAACCATTTCCATAGTAATAATTTCCATAGTAACCATTTCCAAAGTAACCATTTCCATAGTAACAATTTCCATAGTAACAATTTTCATAGTAACAATTTCCATAGTAACTGTTTCCATAGCAACCGTTTCCATAGTAACAATTTTCATAGTAACCGTTTCCATAGTAACAATTTCCATAGTAACCATTTCCATAGTAACAATTTACTAAGTAACAATTTTCATAGTAACAATTTCCATAGTAACTGTTTCCATAGCAACCGTTTCCATAGTAACAATTTTCATAGTAACCGTTTCTATAGTAACCGTTTCCATAGTAACAATTTGTATAGTAACCGTTTCCATAGCAACTGTTTCCATAACCATTTTTTCCCTTAGCAACGATTGCTAAGAATTTTTTTTCTTAGAAACGGTAATATTAATATTGGCCACGAAACCCTCCGATGAAGGCGCCCTTTTTTAAACGCAATAATCGTTTACAAAAGTAATTTCCAAAAAATCTTTTTCAAAAATCTTTTGAAAAATGTCTCTAATGAAATGTTTTTTTTTCAGGTCTATCAGAGTAAAAATGCGGTCCACTGATCTCTTTGGGTTCTTCCTACTTTTCCTCCTGGACTTTTGGAGGCCAACGGAAGCACAATGTAGTATTGAAAATTTCACAATTGCTACCTGTCATTCATTAAAGGACATCAAGAACATAAAATCCGAGGATATTGTTACATTGAAGACAACAGTAGCGGAAAATATTCTAACACCAATTTTACTACAAAATTTAACAAGCCTAAAACATTTAGATCTTTCAAAAGGAAATTTATCAAAAATTTCACCAGGAACATTTCTTCATTTATCACAATTACATTCTTTAAATTTAGCTGAAAATCATATTAAACAATTGAACTCGAGTTCTTTGGAGGGATTAAAAAAATTACGCACTCTTAGTTTAAAAAAGAACAACATTCGTCATCTTCCCGATGCATTGCTCAATTTGAAAAATCTCAAATTTCTCGATATCACGAGAAATCATATCGATTGTAATTGTGCAACTTTAAAAGTACGAGATAAATTAGTGGAAAAAGGAGTTAAACTATCAAAAAGAGCAATTTGCAGTGGACCACTTGGAGTTAAGGGATGGTCCCTATTGAAGCCAAGTTCAGAATTGGTTTGTACATTTGAAGAACAAGATGAAGGTATGCAGAAGGATCAACCCGATGGTTTAGAAGAATTTGGTTCAGGTGATGAGGATGTAATAGATGATGACGATGGTGAATTTGAAGATGTTGAAACACCACCAATAGCACCAGAAATTACTGAAACACCAGCACCAGAAACACCAGTACCATTTACAACCGAAGCTGAAACACCAGCTCCAAAACCAACAGAACCATCAATTACAGAAACAACAATTGAAATTACTCAACCAACACAAGAAACCACAACAAAATCATTGGAAAAACCAAAATTAAAAATTGACGATGGTCTATTTTTTGACAGCGAAGAAAAATCATCAACCGAAACATCAACAAATCCAACGGAGACAACAAATAAAGTAGATTTATTTTTAAACGAAGGCTCTGGAGATGATGACGAAGGTTCCGGTACACTAACACCGCCAATTGATTTCACCAAAAAAAGAGAAGAAGAATCTGTATTTAAGGATTTAAATTTTGACAAAGATCCGACAAATAATTGTAGTTTATTTGATACAATATTTGGTAGTTGTGGTGAAACAACATCAACAAAAGCTCCAAAATTTGCCGATATTGAAAATGAAGAATTTATGCCCGTTGTACCAGATGAAGAATCAGATGTTGATGTAATGCCAACAAAATCTGATAAAATATCAGAAAAATCAAATATTGATAAAACTGTAGTTGTTAAAAATAATGAAATTCCAATAAAAGATGGTGAAACAAAACAAGAATTAGCTGACGCTTCACAAGAGGCAAAAACTGGAAATGCACCAATGGTTGTTTTAATAGTGCTTCTTGGTATATTTATCGCTCTCATTGTTCTTGCCGCCTACAAAGGTGATTTTTGCAAAAAGAAACGTGTACCCGATGACGTTGAACGTGGTACTGAACTCAAGGAAATGAGAAAATCCCTACTCGAAAGTGGTGGTAATGCAGTACAACCAAAAATGATAAATGGAAATGCAGAAAATGTACCATTAATTAAAGTACCTTTACAAACGGACGATAAGGAAAAGGTGGTACTAAATCGAAATGGAAATGGTGTTAAAGAAACATCATCTCCTATTGATGAATCATCAGTAACCGATCAATTGGATCCAGTGAAACCACCAAGAAAATCAATATCCCAAGACGAAGTACAACCATCAACAAATGGAAAATCACATCAAAATCCCGAAAAATTTAAAATCCCACCACTTAATTTATCACAAAATGAAATAAAAGCACCACCAAATACACCAATGACGGATATTGGTAGTCCACCTCTAAGTCCCGATGCACAACGAGTGAAAATTATTCTACAAGAAAATCCCGATAGTGTGCCAAAAACGCCAATTCTCATCACACGAACGAAAATGGGTGAAAACCTAGTCAAAACACCTTGAAATCAATTTATTTCGCCACTCACCAGTGATTCTTTTTTTTAAATTAGAAAAAACAATATAGAAACAAAAAATATTTTATATATTCTCATAATGAGAATGTAAAAAAAAAATTAGGTTTCTTTTTTCTGTTTAAGTGGTCTATAAAGTGCTAATAGTTTTTAGTCAGAAATATATAACAAAACGGACGTATCGTAATAGATGCTTAATTCCTAAATGGGACTAGTACTATAGGTGAATCTATTAGAGGTCCATTTTACAAATTGTCTCCGTGTCGTATAAAACAATTCCTTTTAATAGAAACCAATTTTTTTGTTATAATACAATTTTTTCATAATATTACAAGAAAAAAAAAGAATCGCTTGAATTATTTTTCTAGTTTTCAAAAGAAAATAAAAATTCTTTGATAAGAAATAATTGTCATTACAGTCATATATGTTTAATCAAGATTATTATGTTCCGAAGAAAAGACTTTTGTTGAGGCTAGTCACTCTTCAAACAATTAATAAGAAAATTTAAAAAAAAAAAATAGTTACTTCATAACAGAAAAATAGTTTTCAATACTGGTGCCCCAAAAAAAAAATATTTTTTTTACTCCTCGTTAGTAATTTTTGTATTTTTCCAACAAAATCGAATTTTTTTTTATTAATACATTTCGATAAATATTTGTTTATATATTTTTTCGTTATTTTAATGGGGGATTGGTTTTTAAACATTTAATATAAATGAACTCAGGTTCAAGAGAAATAGAATTTTTCTCATGCATGTATTTTGCACACTTTTTATTAATGACAATAAATTAAGTAACGATGAGTGCTGCATGAATGAATACCTTTTGTATTAGTCATCTCGTGATAAACGAACAACGGATTCTTAGCATTTTTTTTTTTTTATTTTTTTTTTTTTTGTCATTTATGAAAATTTCTACTTACCAGGTGTTAATTCTAAGTAGCTTTAAAATATAAGCCTTATAATACACCATGAGGGAAACTTTTGACTGCATTTTTTCAAAAAAACTCGTTTTTACAGTTACGTTACGTGAAAAATATTTTACTTCTTTAATTAGCAGAAACAAAAAAAAAAATCTCACCTTTTTATAGTAATAAAATTCTATCAATTTGTGAAATATTTAAATATATTTTCACATAATAAAAAATTTTAATCTTTCGACAGTTTCTCTTATTGTATGAAAATAATAAGCTGTGACCATTTTCTACATTTTAAGAATAATTTTACGTAGAAATATGAGAGTTCAGAACGTTTTAACATTATAGTAGATATATATATATATATAAATATATTAAATATATGAGGGCAGTGAACCGTTATTTACTTTTTAAGTGATTAAAAATGTGTCATTTTAAGTCACGTTTTTTTTTTTTTTTTATTTGTGAACGACAAGTATTTATTACATCTTTGTAAGCCAAATGAACTAAACACTACGATTTAAACGAGTAAGTGGGATTTCCGTCTTGACAATTTTTTTTTCCTCCTTTTTTTTTTTGTAAGGTTCACATCTATTAGATTTTCATATTATGTACATCACAAGAAAAAAAAAAACCTGTATGTTACATCATCAATCTCACCTCGTTAGATTCTAACTAGAAGATAAAAAAAAAAAAATTAAGATTAGATTTTAACATGATATAAAGACTTTATATTATTATATTTACATTTGCAGTCTTTTAATAATACATCCCATATAATATATAATTATATATCTTGTTATGAATATTTGTGTCAATATATGTATATAATTATTATATACAAAACTGAAATTAATTTTAATCCGTCAAAAATTATTTAATATTACTATTATTATTTGTTTTTTTTTTTTTGAGAAAATTATCGATAATTTAATCAATTAAATCATATATGTATTACAAATAAATTTATTATTAAGATTTTCACTGTTAGAGAAAAAATGTAAATTTAACAAAAAAAAAAAAAAAAAAAAAAACTTATAATTTATATTCTATTGTAGTCGATTATTGAAAATATTGTATATACGTATATTATTCGAAAAAAAAATAAAATTATATTTCTAATTTTTTAAGTTGTAATTTAGGAAGTTTTTTTTAAAATAATATAATTGTGATATTTTTTTTGTTTAGTGTAATTCGTCTACCTTAGTAACGGTTACAATGGCAGCAATTTCCATAGCAACGGTTGCCATGGCAACAGTTTCCATAGCAACCGTTACCATGACAACAATTTCCATAGCAACGGTTGCCATGGCAACGGTTACCATGGCAACAGTTTCCATAGCAACAGTTCCCTTATCCACTGTTACCATAGTACTGGTTACCATAGTAACGGTTACCATGGCAACAATTTCCATAGCAACGGTTGCCATGGCAACAGTTTCCATAGCCATAGTAACGGTTGCTATGGAAACAGTATTCATAGCAACCGTTACCATGGCAACAATTTCCATAGCAACGGTTGCCATAGCAACAGTTTCCATAGCAACGGTTACCATGGCAACAGTTTCCATAGCAACGGTTCCCTTATCCACTGTTACCACGGTACCGGTTACCATAGTAACGGTTACCATGGCAACAATTTCCATAGCAACGGTTGCCATGGCAACAGTTTCCATAGCAACCGTTACCATGGAAACAGTTTCCATAGCAACCGTTACCTTGGAAACAGTTTTCATAGTAACGGTTGCTATGGAAACAGTATTCATAGCAACGGTTTCCATGACAACCGTTTCCATAGCAACGGTTACTATGGAAATTGTGTCCATGGTAACCGTTGATATGGATACTGTTACCATAGCAACCGTTACTATGGATACAGTTACTATTGCAACCGTTGCTATGGAAATCGTTGCTATGGAAACCGATACTATGGTAACAGTTGGTGAGAAAACCATAGCAACCGTTGCTATGGAAACTGTTACCATGGCAACAGTTGCTATGGAAATCATTGCTTTGGAATCCAATACCATGGTAACAATTGTTAAGGAAAACATAGCAACCATTGTTATGGTAAATGTTTTCAATGATTTTGCTTAATTAAATCAAAAAAAAAATTGAAACTTTAGATTAATTAAATCCAAGGTAATAAAAAAAGAACTATTAATTTTACTTTACAGTAAATTGAATTTTATTAACGTAACAAAAAATGATATAAATTCTAAACACACATTTATATAATTACAATGCTCCTATATATATATTAATAACTGATCTAAGAGTAAAAAAATTTTCTCACACATTGAAAATATTTCCCAATGAAATATATTCATGGACTCGCATTATTATTATCAGTCGTTGAAGATGGCCTAAAACCACTTCGAGGTTCGCGAGATAAATTTGGAAGATTAATTGTACTTTTAATGATGCAACTTCTTCGGCTTCGTTGATGAGTATTTTGAAAATCTGAATCTTCATCATCTGTTGATGTACCTGCTTTTGATAAAACAATTCTCTTCTTCTTTTTACTCATTGGCGTTGGTGGTCGTGTTTGTATTTTTGTCGAATCACTTTCCCTTTGATCGGAATCTGTTTTTATTTTTAATGATATTTCCAAATTATTACTTGATTGATGTTGTATTGATGGTATACTTGTTATTGTTGTTCGCGATGCATTACGACGTATTCTTTCCACGCGACGTTCTTCTCTTCTTGCTAAATTATCTTCGCTCACTGTTCGTTTTCTTGTGATACGTTTTGTACGACGTTTTTTCACTCTTAAATTATCAACTGATCCTAAAATTCGCGTTGTATTTTCCGTTATTGCAACATCAAGCCTGTCCAATGATTGTGCAATACGTGGCATTTGAACAGCTTCCTCATAGCTTGGTGGACCAATTAATTCCATTGGATGAATTCTTGGCTCTGATGATTGACCCCTTAATTCTTCCTCGAGTCGTTCGTTTCTGAAAAAAATATTTCTATTTTTATAAAATTAAAATGGGGGTTTTTTTTTTTTTAAAAAAAGTACCTTCTTTGAAGTAATCTTAATCTTTCTCTAGCTTCGGCTCTTTCTAATTGTTGACGTTGATTACGGGCAATTCTTTTTGTTTTCATTGCATGTTTTATTGACATTATTGTACCACCGGCAATAATTAGAGTTAATATACTAATTGCCACTAAACCCCAAGTTTTATTTTTTGGAGTATAAGGTGGATCGAACCATTGATCGTAACAACCAGTTTCCCAAGTGTATCCAGAGACATTTGTTGGACTTTGACAAATTAGATATTCCATTTCTGTTTTCACTGGCAATTGAATTAGAAAATTATAAATTGGATGCAATTGTGAACAATCACATCGCCATGGATTATCCTCGAGTTGAATTATTTTCAATTCGGGATTATTGGCAAAAATTAGAGGATTAGGACCCTCTGTCAGTCGATTGCCTAAAAAATTCAAAAATATCAATTTTAAAAATCCAAAGAAAAAGTTAAATTAAAGTTAAGAAAAATGTTATTTGAACAAAATTCTTACCAGATAGATCAATTTTCACAATATCTGGCAATCCTTTAAATATTTGTGCAGTAAGTTCTACTAAACGATTACGTTTTAATTCCAATATTCTCAAACTCATTGATTCTAAATGAAAAATAGTTTCAATAATATTATCACTTAAATTTAATGTTCTTATTTTTGGCATATTTATCAATGAATTGGTGACAATTTTTGAAATAAGATTTGAAGAAAAATCAATTGTTAACGCTGATGTTGTTAAATTTCCAATATCTCTAATATTATTCGATGATAAATTTAATATATTTAATACAATACTATCACGAAATAATGACCAATGAATTTGTTCCAATTGATTGCCAGATAAATCGAGTACACGTAAATTCATTAAACCAATAAATGAACTTTTATTTAAATAAACAATACGATTATAATCGAGATAAAGATGTGTGAGTGCACGATTTTTAGCAAATATTCGATCGGGAAGCAAATGAATTCCATTGTGAGAAAGTTTCACTTGAGTGAGAAATGGAAGTTGATGAATTCCAGGTCTATCCAAATTGCAATTACTCACATCTAATCGTTTTAAATTTTTATGACGTAGTGCCTCTTTTCTAAAAAAAAAAAAAAAGAATTATATTTTAAATTACAAATATTAGAAAATACATTTTTAAATTTTAATAATAACAAATTATAGGGTTTCATGGACAATATTAATATTAATAATCCTTAGGCAACCATTGCTAAGGAAAAAATATCAAATAACAACGGTTGCTAAGGAACAAAACGGTCATAGCAACGGTTGCTATGTAAACTATAGACATGGAAATTGTTACCATGGAAATTGTTACCATGGAAATTGTTACCATGGAAACTGTTACCATGGCAATCGTTGCTATAGATATTGTTACCAAAGCAACTGCTACTATGGAAACTGTTACCATGGTAACCGTTGCTATGGAAATTGTTGCTATGGAAATTGTCACCATAGCAACCGCTACTATGGAAACTGTTACCAAAGTAACCGTTGCTATGGAAACTGTTACCATAGCAAACGCTACCATGGTAACCGTGGCTATGCAAACTTTCCATGGCAACCGTTGCTATGTAAACTGTTGCCATGGAAACTGTTACCATGGTAACCATTGCTATGGATATTGTTACCATAGCGACTGCTACTATGGAAACTGTTACCATGGTAACCGTTTAATGGAAACCGTTGCTATGGAAACTGTTAACATGGCAACCGTTGCTATGGATACTGATACCATAGCAACCGCTACTATGGAATCTGTTACCATGGTAACCGTTGCTATGGAAATTGTCACCATAGCAACCGCTACTATGGAAACTGTTACCATGGCAACCATTGCTATGGATATTGTTACCATAGCAACTGCTACTATGGAAACTGTTACCATGGTAACCGTTGCTATGGATACTGTTACCATGGCAACCGTTGCTATAGATACTGATACCATAGCAACCGCTACTATGGAAACCGTTGCTATGGAAACTGTTGCTATGGAAACTGTTGACATGGAAACCGTTGCTATGGATACTGTTACCATGGCAACCGTTGCTATGGATACTGTTAGCATGGCAACCGTTGCTATAGATACTGATACCATAGCAACCGCTACTATGGAAACCGTTGCTATGGAAACTGTTGCTATGGAAACTGTTAACATGGCAACCGTTGCTATGGATACTGATACCATAGCAACCGCTACTATGGAAACCGTTGCTATGGAAACTGTTGTTATGGAAACGGTTGCTATGATTATTTACCTGGTACTGAATGTTAAATGCTTGTTGTCTTTTAAAATTAATTCCACAAGATTTGGAAGACCTTTGAAAGTGTCTGATTGTAAAAAATTTAAATCACAATACGAAAGATTTAACCATGCAAGATTTTCACTTATTGGATTATCAATATTTGTCAATGGATTTTCAGCTAAACTCAACATTCTTAAATTTTTAAGTCCATTCAAATAATTGTTTCCAAATTCTTTGAATTCTGAAAAAGAGAAAAATATTTTGAACGTGTAAAAAAAAAAAAAAAAATTTTGTAAACAAATTTAAAAATTGAAATTTTATTTTATAAAATTTTTTTTTTTTTGTATATTAATTAATTTACCACAATGACTGGCGTCAAGAACTTGAAGATTTGGAATCTCCAATCCACTTAAATTTGATATTGGATTATTAGAAAAATATAAAACTTTCAATAAATTTAATTGACTCAATGAAGCAATTGCATTGGTTGTTAAAATATTATTTCCATTTAAACGTAATTTTTGAAGTTTTTGAAGTCCATTTAAATTATCAGGCAATGAAGTCAGTCTATTTTTTTCTAAATTTAATTCATCCAATTCTTTTAAGCGATTTATATCATTTGAAATTTCAGATATATTATTTCGTGAAACATCCAAATCTTCTACCTGTTGAAAAGGAGAACGATATTTTAATAATTTATAAATTAATTAATAATAATATTAATAATTAATAATAATTGGGGAAATTTATTAATAATAATATTAATAATTAATTAATAATAGATAATTATGGTAATTCATTAATAATAATTATTATTATTAATTAATTAATAAATAATCAGATTAATTCTATATTCGGTACTTACGTCATATATTTATTGAAAGCAAAAAAATCAATTTTTTATTCTTACTCACCAAATCACTCAAATTTTTAGGAAATTCTAATAATTGTTGACCGGAACAAATTATAATACGTGGATTTTGATCCAAATGACACGAGCATTTTTGTGGACACAATTTTTCGGCATCAATCATTAAAAATAATAATATCAAACACAATAAAAAAAAATATATTTTTCTAATTTTAAAAATTGTTCTTGAATACACAATTTTTTGTAATAATTCCATTTTAAAAAAATTATTGTATCACCCATAAAACTTTTTTCATGAAAAATCACTTCCAACATATTAATACTTTGATAAAGATAACAATCATCTTTAGAGTTCATTTGGTATTAAAAATTTGTGTTATTTCAATTTTTTATCCGCACAATTATTGAATATTTGTCATTTTTCATCAAAAAAAAAAATATAAGAAAAATTTTATTCTCAATTTCCCACTAAAAATTCAATTCAATGGGAGCGGTTACTCTCTAGAGAGTAGAAACTTACTGACTTATCTTTGATAACAAACGCGGGCACGTTGTTTAACAAGATAACTAGTTATCTGATGATGAATATATATATATTCTCTTTCGTATATTATAACGGTAGATTTGTGACGTTTTTTATTTTTTGTTATTTTAAGTCGGCGGGAAATCGAATTCTTTTCCAAAAAAAAAAAAATTTTAGTATCCAAAATTTTGTCATAGACAAATTTGAAAAAAATTATTTTTGTATTTTTTTTTGTATTTTTTTTGTATTTTTTTTTAATTTATTTTTTTTTAATTTTATGAAAACTTACAAATTTCAGAGATTTTTGAAATTTTTATCTAATTACCAAATTTGTCTTTTGTAAATTGCAAAAATTTTCTATAAAAAAAAAATTAATTACATATAAAATTTTGCAAAATAAAGTAAAATTTCAAATGAAATTATCTGCTTTAACACAGCTATTGACCCAATGTATATATATATATATATATAACGTAACTCAGCGAACCAAGATTTTCCGCTGTTCAATATTGAAATTTATTTATATCAACAAAATTAATGAAAATTGTGTAATTTATTTTTAATAAATTAAAGTGAAAATTTTCTTTAAAAATGTCAATACTTAAAAAATGTAATTTTTTTATATTTTTATTATTATTATTATTATCATTATTATTATTACACGGGAAAAAATCTTTAGCTGAAACAGCGATATGTTTATCTAAAGTAATGAAAACTTTCTCTCTTTTAGCGAAACATATCGCTGTTCCAGGTGAAAATTTTTGTCCGTGTATTATTATTATTATTATTATTATTATTATTATTATTATTATTATTATTATTATGTTTAATATTATCATTAATCCATAGAAAATTGAATTTATTGATGGAAATTTTATTATATTATTTATTTAATTTTTTTTTGGGAAAAGATAATTATAAAAAAATTTGCTTCTACATAATTGTGGGGATAAGAATTTGTTTTTGAAAGAATTTCTTTCTCCTTCTCGACTCTGAGGATTTTTAGTTGTCAACCACACAAATGGAAATTTGAATGGTCAGGACAGTGGAAAATATAAGACATTAGATAAATACCTCAAGTATCCGTAAAGCCGATATTGAGCGCGGCCATCTCTCGGTCGTCTAAGCCCCTCTTGGCTGACCCATGCGGATATTTTCCCCCTTCCGCTTGAACTACTGATATAATACTTACTTCCTTATCGAACAAACCCGCGATCCTCCTTACAAAGTCCTATTTGCTCAATTTTAAACTCTAAAAAGAGTTCGGATTCTGCATTTTTTTTTTCTATAATCGCTTCATATTTTTTTTCTTCTTGTATATAGAAAAATTGAAAACAAATTTATATAGTACGAGCAAATTTCAATCATAAGTGAAAAAACAATTAAAGATTTTGTTTCTTAATAAAAATTAATAAAAGTAGAATTTAAGACAGAACTTTTATTATTGTAGTTTTACTGTTAGTAGGAAAAGTTTATATTTTACTTAGGCAAAATTGTTGTAATTTCTGTATAAGTAGTAAAAGTGTATTTTAGTCAAACAGAAGAGAATTGAAAACTTTTTTTCAAGTTTAATTAACAGTAGAAATATACGTTTTAGTCAAACAAAAACTGTTTGTTTTTTAAGTAGTAAAAGTAAGTATTAGTCAGGCAGTACAATTAATCATTGATAATTTCTATATGAGTAGTTAAAGTATGTTTTAGTCAGACATAACTAACCAAATAATTGTAATTTCACTGTAAGTAGTAAAAGTAAATTTTAGTCAGTCGTAAATTTTTTTTTCTTCTATAATTTAGTAAAAATAGTAAAAGGGAATTTTGTTCAAACTAATTTTTACTGTTTATTAGTAGAAAAATACGTTTTAGTCAGACGTAAATTGTTTATTTTACTTTAATTTTTGTTTAAGTAGTAAAAGTAACTACTAGTGAGGCCAAAAATTATAATTTCTATATAAGTAGTAAAAGTATGTTTTAGTCGGACATAACTAGAATAATTGTAATTGTACTGTAAGTAGTTAAAGTATCCTTTAGTCAGCCGTACATTTTCAATTTTTCTAAACTAATATAAGTAGTAAAAGTTTAGTCAGACAATTTTTGTCAAATTTTTGAGGAGAAAAATACGTTTAACATAGATATAACTAACCAGAAAATTATAATTTTACTAAAAGTAGTAAAAGAAATCTTTAGTCAGACGTAAATATTAAATATTTTTTTTAGAACTATTCGAAATTTTGTAATTTTAATAGTAGCAAAATTACGTTTATAGTCAGACATAATTTTAATTTTACTATAAGTAAAAAAAGTAAGTTTTAGTCAGTCATTAAAGTTTTAATTTAGTAAAAAGTAGAGAAAGTGAATTTTAGTCAGACGCTTCAAACTTTTACACTTTATCAGTAGAAAAGCACTTTTAGACATGAACTTTTTATATTACTTTAAGTTTTCTATAAGTAGTAAAAGTAAGTTTACGTCAGACATACATTTTTCTTGTTAATTAGTACAAGTAGTAAATGTAAATATTAGTCAGACCATAAAATTTTCTTAAATAGTAAAACCATGTTTTATTCAGACACAAACTACGATAATATTACTTTAATTTTTCCCACCAGTAGTAAAAGTAAGTTTTAGTCAGACATGCCTGGTTAAAAGCCTTACTTTCACTTTAACTATGGTAAAAATCAGGAATTTTTTCACTTTTTTTTTGCAAAAAATAAATAAAATCCATGTTTCTTGTTTGCGCAGGGCAAAGTTTGTTTTTCACACGTCCAACTGGACCAATGAAAGGTGGGTCACACCCCTTAGAGGGTGTGAGCGGCTTAACCAGCGCCGGCGCTTAAACCGCGGCTTATCCAAGTGGGCGCGAGTATGGTCTCTCTACCTGTTGATGCCAACCAACCCCTTTGGTTACGATTTCGCAAATCCGGAGATTCCACTCTCAATCCTGGTTACGCCTCCCTGTTGGTTTTTTTCATATTTAAAAAATATGAAATTATTAATTCAAATATGGTTTATTTAATTCAAATAAAAATTTATTTTGCTCAAAGCACGTAAAAATAATCTTCAACCTAGATCAGTTATATGTTTCACTAAAACAGCGATAGTTTTCGCTATTCTAGAGAAATATTTCGCTATTCTAGAGAAATATATCGCTGTTCCAGAGAAACTGATTTATTTATGCCAAAGAAATGGGCTATAATAGTTACCTTTGAGACAAATCTAAGTTTTATTTAATTTAAATATTTGACGCCCCACGAGAGAAAGGACCTTATGTCAAAAAAAAATTTTAGGTTATGTTTTTTATTTGTGAACTGAAAATACTCAACTCTCAATACCAAATATTTTTGTTTAACTTTCCATTCAAAAAAGCCCATAAAAAACTAATTTTGAGTTTACATAGAGAAAAAGAAACTTTTTATGCAAGATAATACTGCCGTTCAACATAACCTAATATTTTTGTTGACGTAAGGTCCCTTCGTCACATTTATTGTATTTGGTTCAAATAAAACATTCCTCTATGTGAATAAATGAGAAGAAGCACTAAAAAGAAAGGTAAAAAAATTCGAAAAATAATGAAATTTTTTTGTAAATTAAAAAGATGAATCGAGAAAATGTCCTTTGGCGAGCTCATTAGATTGAAATACATCAATTTTCTTTTATCTCGTCGATGATCTGTATCGATTCATCTGCATATAGTCTAGCGAAACCCCCCCCCCCTCTCTCTCTTTCTCTCTCTCTCTCTTTCATACCTAAAGATAGCTATAATTAAAAGTCGATCAGGCTCTCGCGGCTGGCTCCAAAGAGAGCGAGCGAGCGAGAGAGAGAGAGAGAGAGAGAGAAAGAGAGAGAGACTTATTCATAGATAAAGACGCGCAGTCTCACACACAGCAAGAGTTTTACAAGAAACGAGCGAATGGCAGGATATAATACCATTGGAATCGCTATCTTTTTCGGCCGGGATGGAGTTTCACATCGGCTTTCTATATATATTTTTAACGCCTTCATTTCCGCTGGCTGGGGACACCGGAAATAGCGGGACGATACCTCGCGGTGTTTCAAGTATTGATCAGTTCGAGGACCTGGAAGTTCACCCCCATCTCCACCCCCCCTCCCTCCTTCATGAAGGGGGAGGGGGGACTGGTACTACCTCTACCAGACTCCTAGTCTCGACCCCACCCAAAGACTCGTTTCAACGTCGACAATTTTTTTTTTTTTCAAAGTTCCTTGAACTTTAGATTTTAATTTTTTTTTTTGAATATTACTAATTTATGTAATTGCGAATAATAATTTAAATGTAAAAAAAAATTTATTTTATTCAAATAATTTACCTGACTATTGACAAATAAATATTTATAAATAATTTTTATATTTAAATTAAAGAGAGATCAATGAATTTTTTTTTAGATCTGTTATTTTATTTTGATTCGTTGCTCCCTTATATATATATATATACATTTTAAAATCAGAGGTATAAATAAGAGCTTATCTTCTGTCGGCTTTTAAGGAGAACCCTCTATCGTTTGCTTGACACCTTTCACGTGTCTCAAAAACGAAAAGGGTGCTCAGTGTCTTTTGAAATGTGCACTCGTAATTGCTCTGGCATGTCCCTAAAATTAAATCCAATCTTTTCCTGAGCTTCAATTTTGCTTTTTCAACCCTACGCTGTTTTATATCATCGCACTACCTTAACAAAAAAAAAAAAACTAAAACTTTTTTTTTAGTCAGTCAAAACACTGATGAAATTTTTGTTATTATTAGATTAGTAGTAAAAGTAAGTTTTCGTCAGACGTAAATATTAAAATTTTTCTAATGTAGTATAAGTAGTAAAAGTAAATTTTAATCAGACGAAAACTATACCCGTATGTAGTTTAAGTTGTAGTAAAATATGTATGTACTATTTTTATTACTGTAAATTTTTTATTAGTAGTAAAAGTAAGTTTTAGCCAGACTAAAAAAATTCATTTTTTTATAAGATTTTAATTTGGAGATTTTTTTCTAAATAAGTAGTAAAAGTAGGTTTTAGTCATACATGAATAAAATTTTTTAATTTAGTAAAAGACGTAACTAATTTTTTTACTGTAAATTTTGTATTAGTAGAATAGGTCAACTTTAGTCAGACAAAACTACTTTTCTTGTAGTTAATATGGTAAATTCTTGAATTATTCTAAATAAGTAGTAAAAGTAGATTTTAGTCAGACGTAAATGTTTAAATTTTTTCTAATTTAGTGAAAGTAGTAAAAATAAATGTTAGTCAGACGAAAACTTTATATCGTTTGTAGTTTAAGTTAAAGTGAAATATATGCCAGACGTAACAATTTTTTTTACTGTAAATTTTTTATTAGTAGAAACAGTTAATTTTAGTCAGACAAAACTACTTTTTTATAGATAAGATTTTGTAAATTCCCGTTTTTTCTAAATAAGTAGTAAAAGTAGGTTTTGGTAAGAATTAAATTTTTTTTAATTCAGAAAAAGTAGTAAAAGCGACTTTCAGTCAGACAACATTTAAAAAACATTTATTGTTTATTAGTCGAAAAATATGCTATAGTAATTTCTAGATTAGTAGCAAAAGTAAGTTTTAATTAGACAAAACTGCTTATTTTTTTCTAAATAAGATTGTAAATTGTAATTTTTTGTTCTGGATAAAAATAAGAAATAGTATGTTTTATCAGTACTAAATATGCAATTTAACACTAAGTAGAAAAAGTAAGATTTAGCCAGCCAGAATTGCTGGGATTTTTGTAATTTTTTATACAAGTAGAAAGAGTATGTGTAAAAGTAAGTTTAACTGATAAAATTCTTGTTAATTTTGTATAAGTAGTAAGAGCACGTTTTGGTCAGACAATTTTACTACAAGTAGTAAAAGCAAGTTTCAGTACGCCGTAAATTTTAAATTACTGTAAGTTAGTAGAAGTAGTAAAAGTATTTGAAAATAGTAAATGTAGTGTAAAAAAAATTGTAATTTATATGCTAGTAGTAAAAGTACGTTTCAGTCAGACATAACGAAACAAAAAATTCTGATTTCCCTATAAGTCAACTTCAGTCTGAAAAATCCGTTATAGTCAGACATGACCTTTTTATGTTATTTTTACTTTTTTAAGTAGTAAAAGTAAATATTAGTCAGACAGTACTGGTAAAAAAATTCTTTTGTATATAAGTAGTAAAAATACGCTTTAGTTAGGCGTAACTAAACAAAAAATTCTATTTTGCTTGTAAGTAGTAAAAGTAAGTTTTAGTCAACCCTAAATATTAACTTGCTATTATTTAGTAAAAGTACTAAAAGAAAATTTTTAGTCAAAACTAAATTGTATAACTGTTTGTGAGTAGAAAAATACGTTATAGTTAGTTTATATTTTTTAAGTAGTAAAGGTAAGTATTAGTCAGACCAGTACTGCTAAAAAAAAGTCCAATTTTCTTATAAGTAGTAAAAGTAATTTTTAGTCATCCCTACCTTATTAACTTTTTACAATTTAAAAAGTACACGGAGAAAAAAGATTTCTTTTATAAAGTAACTTTTACTACTTTCAGAGTAAAACTGGACCAACTCGAAGTTTCTGCGCATCTCTGGCAATTTTTACTCCAAAAATAGTAAAATTTACTCTAGAAATAGTAAAACTTACTACGGAAACAGTAAAATTTACTACAGAAATAATAAATTTTACTATTTTTGGAGTAAAAATTGCCAGAGATGCGCAGAAACTTCGAGTTGGTCCAGTTTTACTCTGAAAGTAGTAAAAATTACTTTTTCTTTTTCTCCGTGTACTAAAAGCTAATTTTAGTTAGACTAAACTGTTCTACGATTTATCAGTACCTATATAGATAAGAAAAATAACGGGGAAAAAAACTTTATACCTGGAACAGCGATATGTTTCTCTAGAATAGCGAAAACTTTTCTCTGTTTTAATGAAAAATATCGCTGTTCCAGTAAAATGTATCGCTGTTCGAAGTGAAAATTTGTTTCCGTATAAAAAAAAACTATTTCTAAAATCAAAAAGAAAAAAAAAGAAAATGAAGAAAATGCGAAATTTCTATTGAAAACTACGACAGTTCTGATTTTTCACAAAAAAAGGATTTTAAGTCTCGTTTCGTTACATTCGATATATGTCGAAATTTAAAGTGAAGAACGTTGACATACGAAGAAGCATCTGAAAGGATGCTTCGTAAACCCCCTGAGAGAGAAAGAGAGAGAGAGAGAGAGAGAGAGAGAGAGAGAGAGACTTAGCAGCGAATTCGAATACGGATTTGTCGCGTCTGAAAGCGTCTCGCGAAACAAGAAAGTGAGACGCACATCGAATGTCACTACGAGAGGTAAAGAGAGGTGACGACAGAGGTGAAATCCTCAACGACGATTAGACAATGCGCCGGAAACTGTATATATATATATCTCTCAAATGTCGTTCGTGAACACGCTTTTCGTGAGTCGCGTTTGGAAGAGAGGGGGGAGGGGGTTGGGAGTACTGACAGATGTGCTCTCTCCGCGCTCAGCACACACCTCATCCTTACGAAGAGAGAGAGAGAGAGAGAGAGAGAGAGAGAGAGAGATACGATGTCGTGATACTATTCCATCCTGATCTTGTTAAGGGCGCAACGAACCACAAACAGCAAAGCGCCCATTCAAATTTCAACGTGAAATCCATCCACTTAGGCTTGGATTCACAACCGCGTGCTACGCTGACCCCACGTCCATTAGACTCACTTTATATACTAAAGATGTCACATCCGTCTTAACTGAAATGGACCATTCTTACAAATTTAGAAAATTTCTTCTTATTCTTCGTTTTAAAAAATAATTTTCAATGTTAGTTATGGCGAAATTTATTGACAAAAAAAAGTTCACTACACTGAGAAAAATGTTTAGTCAGAGCAACCAAAATTTGGTTGGGCCAACAAAAAAATTTTGTTAGTATTTAAGCAACCAAACTATTTGTTTGAGTCAACCAAAAAATTAGGTTGAGTGTTTTTTGTTGGCATAACAAAAATGTTTGGTTAGCTCAACCAAATTTTTTTTGTTAGGTCAACAAAAATGTTTGGTTAGCTCAACCAAATTTTTTTTGTTAGGTCAACAAAAATGTTTGGTTGATGAAACCAACAGTTTTTTTTGTAAAATTAAAAATTTTATTATACCATATCTCTTTTCTTTTTATCTTCTTTATTTATTTCATTGCTTATTTATTATCAATTTAACATTGAATTTATATTCATCCAATTGAAATATTTATGGACTTTGAAAAATCTCACCTCCGCCTGGGATCGAACCTTTGTTTTAAAACTGAAAGTCGGGAGCTCTGACCACTGGACTACCCATCCTTGTGAGAGATTTAAACTAACTGTTCTCTTAAGCTATGAGCTAAGAGCGAATTAAACTATTTGGTTGTCTCAACCAAATTTTGGTTAGGACAACAAACGATCATTTGGTTTCTGAGATCAAACTATTTTGTTGTGTTAACCAAATTATTTTGTTGTCGTAACTAAATTTTGGTTGGAATTTAAAAATGTTCAACCAAATAATTTTGTTGGCCTAACCAAATGTTTGGTTGAGATAACCCTACGACTTTGTTTCAGCCAACCAAAATTTGTTTACAAGAACCAAAATTGCCTAACCAAACAATTTTGTTGCAAACACTAAATTTTTTTTCTCAGTGTACTTAGAGAAAAATAAAAGACAAAAAAAAGTTTATTGTCTTAGCCGTATTTTACTAAAAACAGGGAAAATTATTTTTTAAGTAGTAAAAGTAAATTTTAGTCTAGACAGTTTTGTAATTTAATTATTAGTAGTAACAGTAAGTTTTAGCAACACAGAAAATTAAAATAAGCTGCAACGCTTTTATTATTTAATCCAATTTTGCTTATTTTAATATCAAAAATTTTAATGCCTTTTAATTTTCTGTGATGACATAATTGTAATTTTATCATTAGTAGAAAAAGTATGTTTTAGTCAGCCATAAATATTATAATTTTTATAATTTATTAAAAGTAAGAAATGTTAATTAAAGTCAGACAGAACTTTTGAAAGTTTTTGCTGTTTTAAGTATATCAGTAGTAAGAGTAAATTTTAGCAAGACATTACTATTTACATAACAATAATTTTGACATTCAGTAGAGAGAGAAAATTTTAGTCGGACACGAATGATTAAGTTTATAAACTGAAGTAAAAGTAGTAAAAGTGGATTTTAGTCAGACAAAATTTTATTTATCAGTAGAAATGCACCTTTAAGTCAGACTTTTTAAATATTTTTGTATAATTATTCTATTAGTAGTAAAAGTAAGTTTTAATCGGACAGAATTTTGATTTGTTTCCAATTTTTGTAATTTCTCATTAAGTAGAAAAGTTTTATATAGTATAGTTTTCTGATTATTGTGATTTTACTGTAAGTTTTTTTTTTTGCATGTGAAAATATTTAACTTTTTGTAATTTAGGTAGTAAAAGTTAACAAACTGAACGTTTGAAAATTTATTAGTTTAAATATTAGTAGAAAAATACGTTTTAGTCAGACATATTTTTTCATAAAATTTCATATTTTATTTCATATTTTTTCCAAAATTTAAATAAGTAGTAAAAGTAAGTTTCAGTCAGACAGAACTATTTTAATTATATATTGTAGTTTCAGTTTAAAATAATAAAAGTAGATTTTTCCATTACTGAACTTACTTAATTTCTTTTATAGTGTAATTATAAGAAAAATTAAAAATTGTTGAAAAATTTATTACGATCTTCTCCCTTAAATTTCTAACACAAAAATTATGTTTACAAAACAAAATTAAAATTTTGTATTAAATTTCCATTTAGTGACAAAAATTGTAAAAAAATGTAATAGAGGTAAAAATGAATTCCACTTAATGGAATTTTTCATTTTTTTTTATTGTATTATTTTTTTAAAAATATTATTATTAATTTTTATTATGTATATAATTTTTTTTCAAATAGGTACTAGTAAATAAAACAAAAAAATTATCGGTCAATAAACTTTTATAATTAAATATCGTTTTTCACAATATATTATTATAATACTGATTTGGACGCAATTGATAATATAAATAAATAAATATATACACATACGCTTATACATAAAAATTACATACAATAAATAGATTCACACACGCACATAAATAGATGATCTTCAATGAATTAAAAAATCTCTTTTTTTTTTTGCTTAATAATAGAATAAAATATTTTTTAATTAAAAAATTCTTTGTACTATTTTTTTTTAAAGAGCAAAATAACTATATTTTTAAAATAAGCCATTTCAATAGTCGACTTGGAGAATGGTATTTAAAATATAGTTAATTTTTCTGTTTTAAAAAAAAAGTTCAACAATTTTTTTGTTCAATTAAAAAATATTTTTCTACTTTTAGAATGAGATTTTTTCTAATTAATTTTTTCGTTTATTCGTTGAATCTTCTTTTTTTTAAATAAAATAGGGAATGGAAAATATTGATATATTTGGGTGATATATTTCCTCTTTAAAATTTGGGGATGGAATGGGGATATTTTAAAGAGAATTTATATCAAACAAATAAAATCAGATATTGTTTTTTTCGCCTATGAATATTGTAGAAGATGTAAAGCTAATTCTCGTCCTCTTCCATTGAACAGGACATATGGTTGTCGAGTGCCTGATACATAACGAGCATCACTGAAATAAAAATGTATTTTATTTATTTATTATTTATTTTTTATTACTTTTTTCCTACTTATTTTTTTTTTATTATTTTATTAACGAATTTTGTAATTATTATTATTATTATTTAAATTTTAAATAAATAATAAAAGAAAAATTAATCAGTTACAATTTTTTTAATTTCTTGTTTAAAATAAAAAATTAATTAAATATAAAAAGAAATAATAAAATTTAGTAAAATTTAACTTACTTTTGAAAATAATGGTATTTAATGGCACCGATATCATTTCTGAAAACTTCATCAAAATCAGCCAAATTGTAGTTCCAGTAAACGCCATTGAAGTCGAAATCATAATAATCACGCCAAATATTTCGCAGCCAATTATTGAACATTTGTAATGTACTGGATCTTTCGAAATCAATTCTAAAACTCAAATTCGCCAATGGTGGTATAGTGCAAATTGTAATTGACGTTCTTGGTAGATTGAAGTCAACTTCAAGGATGTTCAAAAGCTCTCTATAGTCAGCTTGCATCTGCTCCAAAGTTCTTCCCTGAAATTTAAAAAAAAAAACAAAATTAATCGAAATTGTGTTTTTTTTTATTGTTCACTTAATTATGATTAAATTATTTTTATTATCACTGCTACTGAAAAAAAAATTTTATTTAAGCCAAAGGAAAGTTTATTTGAGCCAAAGATAAAAATTTATTTATGATAAATAAAATTATTATTTACACCAAATAAATATTTATTTATGATAAATAAAATTTTTATTTACATCAAATAAATATTTATTTGGCTCTGAACAAAAATACACGTTTATTTAACTCAAATATATTATTTATTTAGTTTAAATAAATTATTTTGCTGGATGTATACATTTTATATATAAGTTGATATAAATTTATTTTATAATTATTTAATGCAAATAAATATTTTTTTTTTTTTATAATAGTCAAGTAATCGATTATTTGAATCAAATATTTTTTTTTTTTCTGTGAAATTGATATTTTTTTAAAATCTATTAATACGTACTTGGTATACGTCCATAGATCCTAACAAAATTGTTACTCTATCTGCGATTTCAGTTATATTTCCCAATCTTTTTATACATTGACGAATAGTTTGACCTGAGACACATAGTCCAGAATATAGGGCACTTTTTTCTGTAAACAATAAAGAAATAATTTTTAAAAAAATGTTTAAATTAAAAAAAAATTTATAAACCTAATTTTATTAAAGTTCAAATTTAGATTTTATTTTATTTTTAATATTTAATTTTTTAATTTTTATTTTTAATATTTAATTTTTTAATTTTTATTTTTAATATTTAATATTTTTTTTTTTTTTTTAAATAATTCCAAAACATTACCTGCTTTTCTCCAAATTGGAACTTTTAGTTCCTTAATTGCCAGTTGAAGGAAAAAGTCATCTCCAATGAGCTGCCTTTTATTGAAAATTGGCTCATAGATATAATTCTATTGTAAAATATAAAAAAAACAATTTTTTTACATTCGAACTACGAATTTCAAAAAAAAAATAATAAAAAGGAAAATATATAATTTACTGTAAAATAAAAAGAAGAATAAAAATAATTTATAAAACCATTTTTTGAAAAAAAAAACTTACATTCCTTTTTCTGTAATCTATGTTGATCATAGGTTTCTCAGATGTTTCAGAGAAAGATGTGGACGCACTTTTATAACCGGAAGAAACTAAAATATATTTCAAAACAAATATTTATACAGATTTTTCACTATATTTTATTAAGAAAAATTAATTTTCTTCTATAAATTTTTATTATTTTTTCATTATTATAATTATTTTTAAATTTTTTATTATTTTTATAAATTTTTTATTAACTTTTTATTATTTAAAAAAAAAATTTTATAATTTTTTAAAATTATTTTTATTATTTAAAAAAAAATTTTATAATTTTTTAAAATTATTTTTATTATTTAAAAAAAAATTTTATAATTTTTTAAAATTATTTTTATTATTTAAAAAAAAATTTTATAATTTAAATATAAAATATGACGCATATTGCCCGTATATATATGTAAATAAATAAATAAATAATTTTTTAAAATTATTTTTTTATAAATTTTTGATAAATTTTTTATGAATAAAAATAAATTAAAATGAATTAATTTTACTACCTGACGGAGAATAATTGTTGTACTGTCGATGATATTCAAAATTATTGTTATACTGTTGATGACAATCAGAATTATTGTTGTATTGTCGTTGATAATTAAAATTATTGTTATAGTGTTGATGACAATCAGAATTATTGTTGTATTGTTGATGATAATCAAAACTATTGTTATTCTTGTTGTTATTTTCAAAATCATAATTCTTGTTACTAGTGGTTTTTCTATTGTTTTTACTTCGTTTCTTGTTAGTCTATAAAAATTAAAAATTTTAATGTAGTAAAAAATTTTGTTTATTATATATTAATTAATTACATGAATATATATAATTATTAAATATTAATTATAGTATTTAAAAGTTATGTTTTTCTTTTTTTGATTTTTTAAAAATATTACCCTAGCTGGTTTTTGATGTTTAATTAATTCATTTAAATGATTAAGTTTTTCGTCATCGACAGTCAAAACTGTATTTCCATATTTATTTTTTTTATATTTAATTTCTTTCACTTCTCGAAGATATTCAAAGAGACTATTATAACCCATTCTTAAATATGGAATAGATGCTGCTTCCATTTCTTGGTAGTCCTCTGCAATAATAATTTTTTATAACAATAAAAAAAAAATAATAATAATAGTATGAAATAATAGTAAAAGTAATAATAATTATTTCTATTTTTCATCTTTACTTAATAATTATTATTTTGATTTTTATTATTATTATTATTATTATGATTAATATTATTATTAATAATGTTAGTACTGTTGTTAATTATTTCATATTATTATTATTATTAGCATTTCGTGTTGTTTTTAAAAAAGATAATTTTATGTTGCAAAAAAAATTTATTTTATTTAATCAAAATTAAAATTTGTTTAAATAAATAAATTAAAAAAAAAAAATTAAAAACTTACTGTCCAAATCTTCAATAGGCATGCCACCTTTTCTGGCCACAATAAGCGCCTTGATAACTTTCGTTACTTCAATTTTTTCCATTTTATTTTCACTTAGACATCTACCTTTGGCAAAATATAAAACATAACTGAGGAATTCAGTTAAATTTTGTCATTATTTTTCTCTTAAATATAGAATTTACTTTTAATTAAAATTTTTGAATAGTATATGAATTGAAATAATTGATTTCTATTTAATAAACACGATTCATATCTTTATATCCAATGGATATAATATTATTGAAGGGCAATAAAATATTTTGATTTATATGTATTATTTGTACAAAACACAAGATTATTGATATTAAATATATTATATACAGAAAATAATTTTTATTTTTATATCAGCAAAATTCATTTCACAAAAAAAATTTTTTTTTTAAACAATATAATTAAATAAAATTAATTTATTTTATTAATTAATTAGGATATATAATTATATTTTTGTTTCTTCTTTTTTTATTAAAAACTTCATTTTATTAAATAACCGAAAATATGGTATTTTTTTTATTAATTAATTTTTTTCATATCTAAAAAAAAATTTTTGATCTATTACAATTGTTTAAAAAATAAAATAATAAAAATATCATTTGACGTTAATAGAAAAATTGAAACAACAGTTAACAGCGCCTTAATGTATGATTATCTTTACAGCGATTGTCGCGGCGACGTTTTCGGTAACATATTTTTAGGCGCGATACAAATTGTAAAAAAACAGTTGTAAACTAAATCTTTTATATAATTTTTTATTATTTAAAGAAACGTTAAAACATAATAAAACTATTTTTTTTTTCTATTATCAATTTTTATAATAATAAAAATATTTAATTTTATTTTTTAAATTATTTTATAGAAATAATAATTATTATTATAAATATATATAAATTAATAAATTACTAAATAAATATAAATTATTATTAATTACATTTTATATTATATAAAATTGTGTAAATAAATAAAATATTAATTTTATTATTATTATTATTATTAATTAAATTAGAAAAATAAGAAAAAACATCCTTTCAAAATTGTTTGACAGTTAAGAAAATGGTTTTTTTGCTTTATTTTTTCATGTGACGTTATTTTAAAAAAAAAAAAAATTATTTATACATAATTTTTTTTTTGATTGAAAAAAAAAATACTGAAAACTTTAAATATATAAATAAGTATCTAAAAGAAAAGTTGAAGGGAAATTAAAAGAGGATCTGACAACCTGGTTATGTCGGATTTAGTTCTTCTGACGACTAAGTTTCGGACGTTGAGCTTAAGTCGTCCGCTATGCCGCTCTTCAAAACCCGCGGACTAAGTTACACGAAGACTCGTTGCTACATGGACTTAAAAACTTTACAGCAAACGCTCTTATAACATCAATAGCCTATTCTTCCTCAGAGGTCTATACTATATATATAGAGAGAGAAAAACTTACGGATCGTCAGCTTTCTCAAAATTTATAAGTCATTTCTCGAATATAATGCAAATTGAAGTGAAAAATAACTTCTCTTATTACAAATGCTGTCAGCAAATTTTATTTTTTTTTTATTCAAAAAGAAAAATATTAAAAGAAAACAAAAAAAAAAAAAAAATTTTGGAAAAAAAATTATTTTAGGCAAATTTTGATAAAATTAAACTAATTTAAATAAGTTTAGAAAAATTTATTCAAAAATTTTAATTTACGATTAGAAATTTAAAAAAAAATTCTCTCCAGCGGGGAATCGAACCCCGGTCTCCCGCGTGACAGGCGGGGATACTGACCACTATACTACTGAAGATGGAAAATTTTGCAACTTATGTGAAAATCGCGTGTGAATTAATGACGTCATAATTGAAATTAATTAACATTAATTAGACATTAATTCATTAACATTAACATTTATTAGAGACAGAAAGATAAAAATAACTTAAGTAATTTTTATTCATTCTTAATATAAAATTTTTAATTTAAATTTGCCGCAAAATTTAAATTTGAATTTACCGCGAAATTTTAGTAATACCTAACCTTATTACTCAATCTAACCTAATTGATTTTCAATCTAATCTAATTAGTAAATAATTATAATAAAGAGAGTAGAAAATATGATTTTTTTAGTGTTTAAAAAGATATTTTAGTTATTTATTGAAATGGTTTTCGAGACTGCAAAAAAAAAATTAGTTTTATAAGTACAGGAGTAATCATTTTATGCACAAAATACACACGGTTTTGTCAAAAATAAGAGGGTAACATCACATTATCAAATTATGAACGTTTACTTTTTCTTTTGTTCATTTTATAATATTCCAAAATGAAGACGTAATATTTGGCCTCAAAGATGTATATTTTAACAAAATTTAAAGAACCCATTACTAATTATTGCTTTCGTTGTACCGGCGTTTGCAACGGTCACTTTCGATACTATCGTGATATACATAAATTACCGACCGAACAACTGATGAATTTGTATTGCATTGTATTAAATTTTTTTTTTTTGAATAATTAAAAATATTTAAAATTATTTTTTATGGGAGTTATAAACGAAGCGGTAAATTGATGGTAATTAAATATGAATGACATTTCTGTTTTATGTGTATATATATATATATATATATACATATATGTACAAGAAGTTGGCATTTTGTGTGTGGTATTCGCGAATTCCATAGCGGGCGAGAATAGCGCTATATTATTATTAGAGTCCCTTAAGTCTAAGAGCCTTAAATCTGCGATAACTTATGAGCACCCCGCACCCCTCTCCACCCCCCCTCCCTCCCTCTATACCTTCTTCTTGGCAACTCATACCTTATACCATTTCCCTATAATATCTTAGTCTACGACGGCGCCTCTCCTGCCTTTATCTCGCATACATTATACGCTTCTGAGCGAAACGATGAGGGAGAGAGTGAGAAAGGAAGTTAGAGTGGGTGGGGAAGGGGGTTTTCTGGGGTAATTGAAAATAACTACCACCCTAAACCAAAACCTGCGAGTAGTCCCTTATGCGTATAACCAAGACGAACCACCGGGGATCATCTGCTGGCTCAACGTTGAGCGTCGATATTAACTTTTGTGACTGAGCTTCTTTATATACCACAAAAAAAAAAAAAAACAATTCTTGTAAATAACAAAAAAATTTTTTGCAAATAGGAAATATATTTTTCAATTAAGGTGAGGCAATCCTTTCAAAAATAAATTTTTCAAATTAAAAAACTGAAAAATTTTTTTTTTGCAATCCCTGTGGGCAAAAATCATGATCGTTCTAAAAACGTTTTAAGGACGTTCTTAGAACGTTTCATGTCCGCCAAATAATGTTCTAGAACATTTTAAAAACATGGATGTTCAAATATTGTTCCAGAACATTATTTGGTGGACATGAAACGTTCTTAAAACGTTTTTAGAACGAACATGGTTTTTTGCCCACAAGGATGCTTTGAAAAATAAATTTTTCAAATTAAAAAAGTGAAGAAAAAAATAATTTTTTTTGTCTAAATTTTATTAAAAATAGGAAGAAAGTGTCTTAAAATATAAGATATCCGATTTTGCAGTGTATAAAAACTGAACTCATTTTTGCTGCATCTTATTATGAAATCTGCATCAAAATGAACCTGTATAGAAGAACTGTAAAAATATTCGTTGAATGTGATTAGTTCGTCGTATTGGATTTAGTGGCTAAAAGCAAGTGTTTCATACTAGATAATGAATAATTGGGAAAAATATATGAGGGAACCGAGGGAACAGGGAAACATTTTATTTCTCGAACTCAAAATGAACCTAATCGGATTCAATTTGAAATCCGATTTTGCAGTCTATAAAAACTGAACTCATTTTTGCTGCATCTTATTATGAAATCTGCATCAAAATGAACCTGTATAGAAGAACTGTAAAAATATTCGTTGAATGTGATTAGTTCGTCGTATTGGATTTAGTGGCTAAAAGCAAGTGTTTCATACTAGATAATGAATAATTGGGAAAAATATATGAGGGAACCGAGGGAACAGGGAAACATTTTATTTCTCGAACTCAAAATGAACCTAATCGGATTCAATTTGAAATATTTTACTAAAAACTCAAAGATAATTTTTGCTGGATAGTTGAATTCTAAGAGAGAGAGAGAGAGAGGGGATAGGCCAAGAAGAAGTATATGTCATATATAAGAAGTTGCGAGATAATGCAAAAGAAGGGCAGTTTCGTGAGATTTAAGACATTGTGGCAGTACAGTAAACAAAAGCTACGATAAATTTGGTAAGTCGGAGAATTAATAAAAGATTACACCGCGGTTACTGCGGTACCGGTAAGAGATAAGACTCGCCATTCCCGGGAGCCTTGAGTCCGCAGCTAAATCATCGGATATCTTACCAGTAATACATAAACCACCCTTCAAGCTTATATATATATATATATATATATATACATGTCTCTTTTCTATATCTTAAAATCCAAAACGTTCGTTGCCTTTTTTTTGCGGTAAGAAAACAAAAAATATATCAATGCAACGACTCAATGAAAATATATTTCTTTTTTAAAAAAAATATTTCTTATAATTATGGTTATTAATAATTAATTATATATTAATTATAATATATAAAAATTTATAGTTATATTTATATATGTATGTATGTATAATTATTATGATAAGTGTAGATAGTTTCCCGGTCGATTAAATCTGGACGTATTTACTTACTGTTATATAGGATAAGATGCGAGTGCTGGCAAATATATAGGTCCTTTATTAATTGGCAGACAGAACACTTTGAAAGACACGACTGAGTGAAGACCATATCTTTGCTTTGATCTCCTGGTCGTGGTCCATTTCATATGAAAGTCTTAATTAATTAACTAGGAGGGAAGTTCATGGGGGGGACACATAGATTCAAGACGAAAAGTATATACCCTACCTTTCTATATACTTTAGTCGATTTATTAAGAAAACGTTACATTTTTTTTTGAATTACACCTGAACAAAAAAAAACGACACCATACTCGTAACAGCAAAAAAGGATAACACTTTTGTTCTGATTTGTAAGACATTTAAAGGTGTCTTCAAAGTTTCAGCCAATGATGGAACGTTTTAGATATTTTTCTATAATCGATGATAAACAAGTAGAGATCATTTTTTAAGACGTTTTCTAAGTGTTTTGAATCATCACTTTCAGCAGACAGT